CTAAAAATAAAAATGTATATAAGTAATTGAAAATATATTATATTGTAACATCGTATTATCGTATATTATATCGTCGGTATGTCGATGTCAATATTATTTTAGTAATTCGGTCGACGGTCGACGGATTTAGTGAAACTGCCGCCCGACAGTAATTTCAATCATAAAGTTATCGGCGAGTGGCCGGGGAGAAAAATCCGCGTATTATACTCGCCATTGAAAGTGGATTCACGACAATTATAATATAATATGCAATGCCGCCCCTCTGTAGTCACTTCATAATTGTTTACATATTTTAATATATTTTAAAGCTAATTTAAATCTCCCCAGTGGCGTATTTAGGAATTTGTCATGGGGAGGGTCCAGTTAATTTCAGAATATAGAGCCGCGGGGGGCAAAGCCTCCCACACCACCAAATTATTCTTTTTTTAAAAAAATATACCATAATATATGACGATATGAAATGTTCGAGTCTTCAATTAATAAATAATAATGTGTACAAAACAAACTGGAAAGGCTGTAAATACTGGCAATGTACAAAACTACAAAATATTTGAATTAAAAATGAACTCAGTATTTTTCAACCATTTTTGGTACCTACCAAACCGATAAAATAAGAAAATCGGGTGACGTGGTGACACTCGGGAAGGTATTTGGAACAACTCTGTGAAAAAAAAAAATTGGAACATAAAAAAGGCCTGTTCTCTTACATAATAATAAATTATGTAAAATCCTGAATGACAATAATTCATTAAGTTATTCGATTTTAAATTACATCAAAATAACAAAATCGCTACATGAGAAATCTAGTGAATATTCAATCTTGCACAAAAATTGAACTTCAAACGCTCAAAAAATGTTATTTGATTTGCTTGTAGACATTTCTTTTTTTGATTAAGGTAGACAAACTTTTGAGGAATCTTGTATTGCATTTTAAAGCTTTTTGACCCAACGAAACTAATTTCATTGTCATCTATAGAGAAAATACCTAAAAAAGTCGACCTAAAAAACCAAGTTAAAATATTTTGAAAATGTTATCGTGTATAGCAAAATATGCTAATATAAACAACCAGTGAAAATGCCACGATTTGTAGTAATAGTTTTTACTTTTTAGTCGTAGTCTCGAGGTCTTCGTTATTATTGTGTACCTACACTGCGTAAGATCTCGCATAATATTGTAAACGTAATATCTTGAAAAATCAAGTTAAATCGAGACTCAATTGTTATTTATTATTATAATCTACAGTCCACAATAAGAGTAAAATTACTTTAGCATTACCGGCGCATTTATGGTACCAACCATAATACGAAACGCATAGGTACTCGATGCCTACTCGAAAAAAGGCCCAAAAATAGTCGAGGGATATAACCAGGGGCGGATTGGACCACCGGGAATTCACGGGTGTTTTCCCGTTAGGCCACTTTTTCAAACAACTATGTATATTAAAATTAAAATTCTTAAATGCCTATTAGGTACGCATTTTTTTTCCGATTTTTCAAAATACGATAATACGAATTGGATTGTGGACACTATGCAACAGTATATCAGGTAGGTAATCCACCTACGGTGGATTGCAGATGGTATACTACCAAAAAGTCCTAGGTAAAAAAGTCCGAGTAAAAAAGTCCGTGGTTAAAAAGTCTGAGGTATAAAAAGTCCGAGGTATAAAAAGTCAACGGTGGAAAAGTCCATTAGTCCAAAATATAGAAGGTCCGGTACATATAATTAGGTAAAAGGAAAAATACCATGTGATGCACAATCAAACTTCCAATTAGTATAAATATAAATTGTAACTAAATTATTTACCTGACAAAATTAATAATTTTTTTTTTTTATTGGGTAACCCGCGGCAACATAGGGCATTGGGTTAGGTTAGATTAGGGTTTATGGCAGAATTTTTGAATCGGGCACCAGTAGGTATCTAACCTAATCGTGACTTGCCCGGAGAAAAATGCCGCCCGGCGACGCGCACAAAATCTCGTATGTACCAATAACTACTTTTTTAACTTTGAACACTGCTTGACTTTTAGTTGCATGTAATAATCAAATACTATTTTTTTTATCTTAATTATCTGGTTTGTCGAGTTTTACCTATATCTGATATACCTAGTTAATATAGATAGAGATATTTATTATCTATAGGTGGTGGACATACTCCACCGTGTAACTACCATTCGTACATAGGTAACTGAACAGTTGTGATTTTTGTCAGTATAGTTCGACGTTTTGTTAGTATAGTTCGACATTCCGTAAGTGCCTGAAAAAATGTCAGAAATGTCAGAAATCATACAAATCAACGAAAAAGGCACCAAAATAGTTGTGGGTGGTTATGCATATACCCTTCAACATACATTATTAGGTTATTATACTAACTACATAATATAATAATCATTGCATTTTTTTTTGTATAATATTTTATATTATGACGATAGTTAATAGGTACTCAATTTAATTAATTAATTGATATATTATGTATATTTTATGTTATTATACTAAGTACATCATTATAATCATTAAATATAAATATTTTTATGTATATACTATATAATATAATATTCACCGGACTTTTTTATCCGGACTTTTTTTCCTAGGACTTTTTTACTTCGGACTTTTTTACCGCAATTCATTACAGACACAACGATGAGTGACAGAAAGCAAAAATATAGTATTTTTCGAAAAGCAAAAACAGCAAATGTAATATATAGCATTTTTTTAGAAAATAAAAAGATACACATAGATTTTGCATGTTGATTCTGTTCATTTACCTATCAGGTATATTAAGTGGAAGTAAATTATACGCTTTTATTTAAGTATAAAAGAGCATTATTAAATATTATTGAATAGGTAATAACCTTTCTTATTAAAAACAAAAATCGTAACATTAGTAGTTTAAATTATTCACTTTTACTGTGTTATATAGGTATTTACATATAAGTAATTATAAGTACTATTATAAATGTGTAAACATAAACTGTTCAAAAATAAAAATAAATTTGATATCAATGTGTATAATGTGTATATACTACGAATAAAGTTTTATATAAATTAAATATCTCGCCAAATGTTGTTACGGAACAAACAACCGTGATACAGAAAAAGGTCTTTTTCAAGACCACCAAGTAAATACGATTGGGAAAAAGTTACGATATGACGAGTGAAAATCACACATGATAAATAGGAATGTCCGTTCAACAGTGTGATTTTTATTCGTCTAAACGTATTACGCGGACCAATCAACGACGGACTAGATTGTCGAAAAGGGTATAAATACCGGACACTTTCGACAATCTAGTCATTACTTCCCCCCTGATCACGAGGCAAGTGCACCAGAGGGGTGCACATAGCCGGATCACGAGCCGCTCGCTCCCAACCACCATGGGCAGTCACCGCGCCGGCACACACCTCAAAAACAGCAAAAAATCCAACACTCCGCCATCAGTCAAAGTTCAAACCACCATGCAACTCCGCCAAAGAAATCCACCGTCTTCCAGTAATCAACAAACTCGCAACGAGCCAAAATCTCCAACCCCTTCGTCCGTATCTATAAACTCGGAAGACAGCTGGGACAGCAATGGGTCTATACTCTCTCACTCACTCACTCAGGAATCAAGCCTTCATCAAGTTGTAAAAACCATTCAAAAAAACCCAGCATCTACTTCAAACAAAATTCATGTATCAAATAAAACTCAAGCCAACCCTAACCTATCAGGAGATTCACTTCAATCATCAACCATAGAAGACGACGTAAGCAGTCACCAGTCCTCTATAATGGACCGCCAGCACATTCCACTACAAAACACCACTGTCCGCTTCCCGCCAATTTCCGTTCAAACTCGTCCAAGTCTTCCATGGCACAAAATCGCCAAGGAGTTGTTCAAACTAGAAGGTCTCGAGAATATCTCTGCAAAAATTACATCTACTCCTTCACAAATTAAAATCAACTGTCCTGACGAAAAATCATTCCGTACCGTCCAAAAGTTCCTGGATGCAAACCAGGAGACCATAGAGTACTTCTCTTTTCCTGTACAAGAAGAAAGATCCCTGAAAATAGTCATCAAAGGAATCCCCCTTGAGGTAACCGACACTGAGCTATCAGACGAACTCACCATGCTAGGCTACCAACCGCAATTGGTCAGAGGTTTCCTAAAAAACGGGAAAAGGATGCCCATACACATGGTCTCATTAAAAATGACAGAAAACGCGAAAGACATCTATAATATCGGTGACATTCTCTTTGTAAGAGTCAAAATTGAACCGTATAAAAATTCTGGGCCTGCTCATTGTTTCAACTGTCAACATTTTGGCCATTCCTCGCTGAACTGCAATCAAACCCCACGGTGCGTAAAATGTGGTAAAGAGCACTCCACCAAAGAGTGTACTAAGCCCAAAACAGATAAAGCTACCTGCTGCAACTGCGGAGGGGAACGTACTGCCAATTACCGAGGTTGCCCTCACTACATTGAAAAGCACAAACCAAAACCCATTCCCAACAGCGTACGTGCTGTGAACATCGCACATCAATCTGCCCTGCCTTCTCCTCCACTCAACGCACCTCAACCGCCAAATGCCCATCAAACTACCTCCGTAACTTACGCTGAAATAGTAAAATCTCACTCCTCAAATCCCACCGAACCTGCTGTCACAATGACACAAATACTTAGCATTATCAAAAAACTACTTGGAACCATTCAAAAATGTCCAGATTCAAACTCAAAAGACGGTATTCTGAATAGTCATGTCAATTCTCAACTCCATTCCTGAAAATCATCATGTCTAACATAAAAATAATGACCTGGAACTGCAATGGCATCAGAAAAAAGACACAAGAACTAACAGCATTTGTAAAACTCCACAACATCCATGTAATTCTACTAAGCGAAACCCGCCTTCACCCAAAAACTCAACTCAAAATTCCAAATGAAACATCTATCGTTCCAATCGTCAACCGCTGCCAAGACATCCACCAAACGGGGGAACTGCAGTACAAATCCGTCGTGGAATTATGCATAATCATGTCAATATCTTAACTGAACTTGACTCAACCTCCGCACAAATAAAAATAGAAAACGAAATCACCCAGGTTACGGCGGTCTACAAAAGTCCAAGCGCTACCTTAAATTCGTCAGATTTGGATGCGTTAACCAATCACAATGGCCCACTCATAATCGGCAGTGATCTAAACGCCAAGCACACAGACTGGCACAGTCTATGCTCCAATAAATCAGGCAAGACCCTAGCGCAACACGCCGAGTCGTCAAACCGATACTCGGTCGTGGCTTCCGACTCGCCGACCTACTTCTCATATGTTCCTACGCACCACCCAGATGTCCTCGACATCTTTTTACTTGATACGCCGAACTGGAACTACTCCGACCATCACCAACCTCTGCGACCTTTCTTCTGACCATAACCCCCAGATTATAAACATACAATCTCGAATGTCACTATGCGGTCCTCCTAGAGCAAGAAAGCGCATACATTGGAAAAAATTTGAAATTGAACTAGCACCTCGGATTAAAAACAACCACATCTCTACCATCTCAGACATCAATAAGAACATTGTCCAACTTACGATTAATATCCAAAATGAATGCGAGAACTGTTCCTACTCAGTGGGTCAATCAGAGCTCTTGAAACCACTACCGGACGAAATACTATTAGAGATCGATACCAAACGTATATTGCGGAAAAACTGGCAACAAACACGAGACCCACCCACGAAAACACTATACAACGCCCAGGTATCCCACGTTAAAGATTTGCTCACCAAACACAGACTCCACGAGTGGCAACTCTTCACCTCCACACTAAATTTTAAAAATAAATCTCTATATAAACTGAATCGTCGACTTCTCCATAATCCACCACCATCTCAACCACTCAGAACTCCTGCTGGGACACAAATATACGACTCCAACTTAAAGGCTGAGCTTTTTGCTGACACAATGACCGCCCAGTTCCATAACAACTCAGGTCCCCCACTACCTGAAGTAAATGACTCCATCGCTAAACTACGAGCTCCCAATATTCCCCCGTCAGAAAACTACGTTTCACCGAATGAAGTATGGGACATAATAAAACATCTCCCGCCAGCGAAAGCACCGGGCGAGGACGGCATTACTAATAAAGCGTTAAAACACCTACCAAAAATAGCCATCGTACTCCTAACGAATATTTACACATCTTGCTTTAGACACTCCTATTTCCCTGAAAAGTGGAAAAAGGCCCTGATTGTTATGATCCCCAAGCCCACGAAAAACCATCAAATACCAGACAACCATAGACCCATTTCATTACTTAATACTATGTCCAAAATCTTCGAAAGGATAATTCTACGGAAACTAAACAACTACATCAAAATCAGATTCGAGCAACATGCTTTCCGTACGGGCCATTCTACAACCACTCAATTAATAACACTAACTGACGAACTATCATTAAAATCCAAAGAAAGAGAAAATACAGCGGCTATTTTTCTGGACATAGCGAAAGCTTTTGACCGCGTTTGGCACCAAGGACTTCTACACAAACTCATGCTTGCTGACGTCCCTATTCCACTGGTAAAACTGTTAGAATCCTTTCTTAGTAATCGCAAGTTCAAAATCAAAACTTCTGATCTCTCAAAAGAACGCAAAATCCAAGCAGGCGTTCCTCAGGGATCATGCTTATCTCCGCTTCTCTATTCAATTTATACAAACGACCTCCCCACAATAGGACCAGTAAAACTGGCTCTTTTTGCTGATGACACTCTCCTATACGCCAGCAACCGGAACTATAAATACGCAGTTATGGCCCTTCAATGTCAGCTTAATACTATGACAGATTGGTTTACCAAATGGAGAATCAAATTAAACGTCGCAAAGACAGTAGCGGTATTATTCGGGCCTCAACACAAAAATCTTGACATGAAACTTACTATCCAAAATCAAACCATCGAATGGAGCAAAAATGCAAAATACCTTGGCGTCACGTTCAACCACAATCTTCGTTAATCACATCCAAATTACCATCAAAAAGGCACGTGGTGCCCGGGCGGCACTTTACCCTGTCCTAAACCGCAACAGTACGGTCCCACTATCCAGCAGACTAACTATCTACAAAATCTATATCAGACCAATTCTTTTATATGCCACTATGTTCTTTAGTTTCGACAAAAACCCGAAACGTGCAGCCATACAATTACAACACCAACTCAACCTAGCTACCACATGGTTTCATCGCTGGAAAATCAAAATAAACCCTACCAAAACAATAGGTATTCTTTTCGGACGTTCCAATACTACTCACATCCCACCACTACTACTCGACAACCACCCAGTGACTTGGTCCAATCATGCCAAATACCTCGGCGTTACTATAGGACGCAAACTCACCTTCGACAAACACGTTCAAGACATCACCAAAAAAGCCACTCGCGGCCGCGGAATTTTTTACATGGGGTAAAGAGACATACTAGACACAGACACATACTCGCAGCCGTCCCTCAAGGATCCTGCCTTTCACCTACTCTCTACTTGACTTACATTAATGACATACCAACAACTCCTAAAGCTCACCTCTCACTATTCGCTGACGAAACTATGTTCTTTACTTTCGACAAAAACCCGAAACGTGCAGCCATACAATTACAACAACAATTCAACCTAGCTACCACATGGTTTCATCGCTGGAAAATCAAAATAAACCCTACCAAAACAATAGGTATTCTTTTCGGACGTTCCAATACTACTCACATCCCTCCACTACTACTCGACAACTATCCAGTGACTTGGTCCAATCATGCCAAATACCTCGGCGTTACAATAGGGCGCAAACTCACCTTCGACAAACACGTTCAAGACATCACCAAAAAACTTGACTATCGACAACAACGCCGATCCACGGTTGCCAGCGCCGTTCAACCGCCGACCAACGACAACAACGCCGCTCCACGGCTGCAAGCGCCGTTCAACCGCCGACCACCGACGATACGCCGCTCCACGGCCGCAAGCATCGTTCGACCGTCAAACATCGACGAATACCGTTCCACGGCCTGAGACGGGTGCGAACCCGCAGATCGACAACGACAACGCCGTCAGTACAAGTATCCACGAGGCTGCCGTTCAACAGCTATAAGGCCCGTGGCGACACATATTCTTGCAGCGACGACGCCGACCAACCACCGACCGCCATCTACCAATCCAGGCCTATAGGATCGCCGGATATATCAACAACTCCCGGCGTTACATCATTAAAAGGCCCTTTTCAGAAGGGCCGTTTTCACTGACATCGGCGCTTAAATAAGCTGTCCGACCCGGGTCAGGTTCGTCGTCGGGGTACCGCTTAATTTAAGTCTGTACCGACGACGCGCGACGGCCGGCTCCCCAGCCCAATATTCCTTTTTTGTATAATATATATTATCAAACCTATCCCGTTGTAAAGATAGGGTCCGGCTATTGCCCGACCACAGTCCCAAGCGCCTCCGATTGTGCCGACTCACTTACATAAGTCTGGTCGACACAAATCGCCGCTTTACTTGTTCATAATATTGTCGACATAAGATACATTTTCTATAGCAATAGAGATATTTGATAACCACAACAAACAATCGTATTTTTATTTCACGATACGGGTTGTCCATTCTGACACCCCGTTTCAACTAGCGCCCAACTAGTGGCAAGAAGGCCACGACCCCGAGATTACATCGACAAAATGGTGAAGAATACGCACGCAGATCGTATCCAGCAATTGGAAGACACGATGCAACAGCTACAGGAGAAAGTAAATACTCAGAACACCGCACTCGATAACTTAGCTATGGAGTTATGAGAAGCTACGGACATAATTAAACAACTAATCAATGACACGGATACAAAAATAACGATCGAAGCAGCAAGACGTGGAAGGGACATCCAATTGGTGAAAACAGCAAGTCAAGAAAACACAAGTAAGAGGGCAAGCAACATCGAACTAACAATACCAACGTTCAGTGGCGAAACGAACGAGCACCCAAAACAATTCCTGAAAAACCTGAACTCGTACTTGTTGCACAAACACATCACCCAAGTTGATCGAATAATTACAATCGAAAATTGCATGAGAGGAAAATCTGCAAAATGGTTCACCATGATCAAAGACATGACACCGAACGAAGATACATTTAAGACATTGTTTTTGAAATACTTCTTTTCGGAGGACCATCAATGGGACATATTTATAAAGTGCACGGAAGCAGGAAAAAAACCAATAAACAATAATTTCCAGGAACACTTCCATTATTGGATGACGGAGCTTAAGCATCTGGACTCTCCAAAAATGGACGAATTACAAGCCATTAACCTAATAACAAAGCATTTCCCTATAGCCATTCAGGCTTATATACAGACAACGCAAGAAAAAAAGTTCCTCAACATATGGGAAAAGTTGGGTGAATTAGAAAATAGTTACAACAAACAGAACAGTACCGATCAGTAAATTACAACTAATAAACAACCATTCACTAGTTGGTACACTCGTACAAACGACAACCAAACACAACCGTTTACTAGTCGGTACGGTAACACGAATGGCATTCATTCGCAACAAGTCAGTGGCCGATATACACAAACGGGGTCTACACAACAAAATAGCGCTCAACAATCAGGTCCACGACAATCAACCCAACGACCGATAAATAGGTCAAGTGGACAAACACAGTATACGTCAGCGCAAGATACAAAAGCAATCAGATGCCTCGTAACACACGATGACCCAAATGACGTGTCAGCCAATAAGGAGGGAGAGGTAAACATCATCGATGACGATACAAAAAACATATACGGGGAGGCTATGGCGACGGAAGACCAATAGCTACTGATCCCGTCAATTCCGAAAAACACATAAAACGAATATCATATAGCAAGCAAAACATAAGACTACAACCTCACAGAAAAAAAAGTAATGAAACGTCCATAATCACTGCAAGTGAACTAACGAAAGATGAAGAATATGAGATCCAATTGAACAATGAAAAAAATTGTTGCCCATATATACACATAGTAGTAAGCAAGGTACGTTCACCCCACTTACCAAAATTTATTTTCAACATAAAATCTGTTAAATATTACAGAAATGAAAACTTACAAAAATGTAGACATATTACAATAAATATTTTAAGCATTACAGATATTTAGAGTTATTTAGAGATATTACAATAATTTAGATATATTATAACAGATATTTAGAGTTATTACAATAAATATTTTAAACAATACAGATATAACAAAAAATACTTTAAATTCTGTTAAATATTACAAAATTAAAAATATAAATTTTCCGCCAATCATAATAAATTGTAAACAAATAACACCAAAGTATTTCGTGTTTTTTTTTTTATATATTATATGAAAAAGTATATAACAGCACACCATTAGCTATTCCGTTTAT